GTTGAAAATGGAATGATTTGGCAACACAAAGAGAAGTGCTGGTCAGGCACCCATCTAAACTACACCCACAGCCCTGAGTCCCAGGAGTCAACACCACACCTCCATATCTACCCCAGCACAACACGGATTGTAACGACAGACCCACTGATTGTCCTTCCTCCTCTGGACAAAAGGAAAAGCTGAAGGTAGTATAAAATTAGTAGATCTCTGGATTGTGTTATCTTTGATTATCCTCTCTTGGATTATGTTGGGTATCTATTTGCTGCACAATTTGAACTTCACAAGGAAGGGTGATGTTCCTCCTGTTTAAAGCAAAGAGAGTGAGAATTCCAAGAGTGGATTGTTCCATTCCAGAGCAGCCAGCTACACTGAGAAGGGTCATCATCTGTTTGAGCACATCCTAGACTTCCCTGTCTTACTACTTCCCCAAAAGCTGCTGCTTGCAAGAGGTGCTTCTGTCCAGAGACAGAGAGAAAAAAATGACTGTTAGTAAAGACTCAAAGTCATGCTAACTTGTGTTTCTAGACCAGCATTCATCACAAACTGTCATGTGTTCGATAGCATTAACTAATGTGACTAAGACATCACATGCTTCTTTCCCCACCCTATCTTTGGGAGAGAACCATGTGCATGGACATTTTGTATTAATTCATTTTTTCCTTTAATAATGCACACAAGGGTCACCACAACTTGCTAGAAAAATCCAGGCCAGAGCAAAGTAGTTTATGCTGGAAGACACACTTTTGGGTCAGTTCTCGAGAAAGCTCTGTTGCAAGAAACTCCATCTGGTTAAACTTTTAAAAATTCACCCCCATACCAAGTTTTATAATATCAAAAAAAAAAGGGAGAGAGGAAATTTCTACTCCCACTAGCTTATGTTTTCTCTTTTTGCTCTTTGCTGCAATGGGACTCCCAGTATAGACTGTTTGATATCCTGAGCTATTTGGAAAACACAGGGTTAGAAAAAATAGCCCAAGGAGAAGGACTATCTACAACTACCTCTCCTCCCCGCTCATCTTCTCTATGTACCTACCCTGAAGGTACAATGGTCTTGATAAGGAAAATGAAACACCTTAGGTAATGATAAAACATGCAGTGTAAGACAAGTATCGAGTATTTACTCACTAACAGAGCAGCCTTAGAGCAGAAAGTCTGCCAAAGAGGGATCAGTGCCTTCCTTACACCCCCAGGATTCATTGTCTCTTAGCCTGGGAACCTGTCTCCGTTCCCAAACATGGATATTTTTTTTGGCAGCAAGATGGAACAAAAGGCACAAAGAGAACTAAGAAAACCCTTTCAGTGGAGCTGTAGTCTCTTTTTTTTTTTTTTTTTTCCTGTTCCCCTGAGGACGGAAAACCTTCTAGGGACAGCTTATAGCACACGCAATCCTGCTACCTGCCTGGGAGGTGCTCGGTGCTCACAGGGACCTGAAGGAATTAGGCCACGTGCAGATTCCAGCCCGGCTTTTGACCTTGAAAAATTAATCCCCTACCTTTAGCACCAAAAATACCACAACATTTTTGAAATGAAATCACTGTTATATTGGAGTGGGTGTGTTATTTCGAGACAGCGCTGATGTGATTATAAAATCAGTTGTGTCAGCTTATTGGCTCAGCTACAGACACTGATCTGCTCGAGCGTCTGTTCCTCCCGCCGGCTGCTCGTTGGGGTGCTTTGTCCCTCCTCAGCTCCCTGTGGAAATGGATACCATTTGATTCCCACTGTTGCACCAAGGAGAAAGAAAGCCCCTCTTTCTGGCAGTTGCCCATCTTGTCTCCATGAAACTTGGCATTTCCAGAGCACCTCTTGTGCCAAACATGAGCACAGCATCCCCCGGCCCGTGAAAGGCTACAGCCCTCATATATATAATATATACATTGATGTCCCTGCAGCCACAGTCCCACATGGACTGGGCACACTGCTTCCAAAGGATAGCAGCTAAGGAAAAAGGCCAAGTGGCCGCAGGCTCCAAAAGTCCCAGCCTCACTCCTCAGACTTTGCACTCGAGCTCCTTTTAAACGTTTCCTCTCACCTATTACCAAATCCTGGTAGCAAGTGTTTGTTTTCCCCGGTTTCTCTGTGGGTGTCTGACAGACACTCAGTGGCTTGTGCTGCCAGGCATGGTTTGATGCTGTCAGTGGCAGGTGACTCACTGGTATCAGAGGTGTCAGTTTGACTCAGCCCTTCATCTTTTGGCAGCAGACTGAAATAAAATGCAATTTCCATTGTATGAGGCAGCTTTTCAGGCACAGCCATACACCAGTGTAGCTTTACATCCTTTATGTGTAGAGCATGTGCAAAGATCTCATAGTTTGCATGCTCCACTGGCTTCCTGGTTTTTCACATTTATGTGTGCTGGATCTTTCTGCTGCCTCTGTGCTCCTCAAAGAAAGTTGAGATTTATTTCAACCACAGTCATCCCAAGGCCAGGGAAATGCCATATTCCCCCTACTGACAGTGGTGACTCCAAAATCCTGCCATTAAAAACCTGACAAATAACTGCTTTGCTGCTCATATAGCAAGAATATTTCCGTTCCCAGTGAAAGGAAAAGGCATCTGAGTACCGTATTACCTACCCATCTTTAGCCCTCCTGTGATCAGCCTCAATGCAGTATGCAGTGCCCTCAGGCCAAATTCCAAACTTTCCATATGTAAACTGCATCCAGCTGCCTGTGCTGCACAGAGTATATAAACATGAGGTTTGAATCCCACATGAGCTGTGTTTGACCACAGGACTGAACTTAAAAGCTACAGAAACTTGACAGGCACTTTCTGCAGTGGTCAAGACGTTTGTTGCAGAGATGAGTATCTCCTGATTTCAACAGAGTGAGAACATGTAATTTCTCATCATTATGTTGTTAACACTGTTGCACCTTCCTCACAAACCCAACCCAATATCAATTAAGAACCTGGTCATCTTCAGCCTAAAACCCCCAAACAATGTATCCCAAACTGGTTTTAATATTAGCTGTGCCAATAACTTGGGCAATTAAAGTGGTGGTGGTGAAAACAAGCGTGCTCACCCTGTCTTAACATGTTTAGAAGAGCCTGAGCTCTGCTGTGGATCCTGGGGCTGAGCCCATGACAGGACACAGAAAGCCAGAAGTGAGATTCTTCTGCTTTGCTGTAACATTTTGTTTGCTTTCTACAACTCCGAGAACTCGTGCCAGTCTAAAAGTTTAAGAGGTTTTGCACTTGTAGTCTGTCTTCATAATCATAATTATATTTGTTATTTGCAAAAATGGACAAACATTAAAAACCTGAAACTCATGAACTGCCTGGATTGATGAATCACTCAGATTATGTTTTAAAGTCTTTTCTGATCTTCTGAATCTCATTTCCAGCCTAACAAGAGGTTAATGCTTTCTCTTTATACAGACACCAAGACTGTTCAGTGCCAAATCTCAGCTACAGCTTCCTCCAATATTCACCCAGTATCCACCTTCCTGCTTGTTCCCAGGGTCTTTCAGTCAAGAACACAGCTTTCAATTTGTGACAACTGGTTGGATATATGTGATGGAAGCAAAGGAACAGTCCTAACATTAAATATGGTGCACACACACAGTGATTTTGTGGGGGCAGTCAGTACAGATGCAGTAACTGGCTGGTAACCAAGCCAGCCTGCACAAACCATTTGAGTTGGGAAAGGCCTCTAAAACCATCTAGTCCAACCACAAACCTGGTCATTATTTTAATTTAAACAAAGAAGAGATCCTTAAGACACATTTAAACACATTAATAGCATTTTCTCCATACACATATATCAGACTCAAACCCACTCTACCTGAGCCTGTTATGCCAACAGGAAAATCCACAGACCTTCCCGGGGTTCTCAGTCAGCTGAGACATCTCTGTCTCCCTGAGCCCATTGTCCAGGCTGCCTTACAGTCACTGGAGGGAACCAGGTACTCCTAGGGCTCAATTAATTTTATCCCAACTTACCTGCCTCCCTTTTGGCTTATCATGGAGTCTAGGCAGGTAATTCAGACAGAGACATCCAAAGAAAACCCCACACCAGGATCTAGGAGGCTGCACACAGCCCTTCCCTTCCTTTCCCTTGGAGAGTGATTCCCCAAGTAGTTTTGTGCTGGGTAGCTGGAGCCACATTAGAGCCCCAGGGATGTCCCAGCCCCAGGGATGTCCCAGCCCTGGAGAGCAGCAGTGCTGGGCAGTGGCTACAGGCTGTGCCCACATCTAATACCCAGCGTGGCTTGCAGACACAGACAAGGGCTAACAGCCATTTTAAAGGGATTTTCTTAATCACATCACTTGGCACCTACACAATTCTCCCTTTGCTGCAGCTCAAGAGGTTCCCTGGAAGCAAGTCCAGTGTGATCCACGCCATTGGCACAGGTGGAGAACAGGGAATGGTCACACAAGCCAACCTGGCTTTTTGCACAGTGAAGGCAGGAAGGCTGGCTGTGGGCAGCTGCCTGGTCTGGTGTGCAGAGCCACGGGCTGAGAGAGGCACCAGCAAGTGGGTGGATTGCTACAAAAACGGGAGTGAATGGAAGATCCATTGTCCATCCTTTCAGGACGTGTTCCTGGTGTGGTGCTCAGGCTGTGCTAATCTCAGATCTGGCCCTTGATCCTGGCAATGGTACCATGGCTCTGCTTAGAGCCCTCCCCAGCCCCAAGCTCCTGTGAGCTTGGGCAGGTAGGGATGAACCCCAGGCACGTTGCTGAACGCACCTAAAATCTCCCCAAAAACCAACCTGGCAGCAGCAGCAGCCCCCCAGGCTCACCTTTGCTCCAAACCTCAGCGTTGGAAAAGGACAGGAAGCAAAACTTCAACATGATTGCCACGGCAAACGAGGAGAAAAATAAAAGAAAAGAAAGATCAAGATGTATTTTGGCAGTTTTCCATGCCAGTTTTCCCATTTCCCTCCCTCATGCACTTTCTGCAGGAGCAATCTGTCCTTTCCCCAAACGCTGAGCAATCCCAGCACTAAACTAATCAATATTAATAGCGATGGGCTTGGGAGGGGGGAGGAGGGGAGAGGAGAGGAGGGATTACCCTGACCTTTTTCAACTCACACTGCCTCAGACGGCCACCAAGCAGCTGAGGAGAGAGCAGCCAGACGGTAATGCCATGTGGTTTTAGTAGCTTTTCATTTTTTTTTTTCATTTTTGTTTTTTTTTTTTTCCTTGTGAATATTTACTTCTGTTGTCTCAGTGCAGATAGCAATGAAATCCGATTTTCTGCAGGAAGGAAAAAAATATAATTATACCAGCCATCTCCGGGCCAAGCCTCGCCTTGAGGAAACTCTACTGAAATGAGGGGAATAACGCCCAGGCTGGATTTTAACTTGAATTTCTTATTAAAAATGAATTGGATTAGGGAAGTTTTGACAGGTGAAGGGTTGAATGCTGGTGTGCTTTGTGGATTTGTCTTTATTATAATAGGGTATAATCAAACCCATTGAGCTGTGAGTGGGATATGGAGCGAGAGCAAACAAAGGGCTGAGGGAACCAGTCGTCTATTGTTACGCTGAAGTGTCCACAGCAGCTCAGGGGGTGGATGTGCTCAGGACAGGGGGCTCAGAATTAAAGACAAATCCTATTAATTAAAAGAAAATCATAACTGAAACTCTTTGTTCCTGTTGGATTCGGGGTTTACTGGAGATTTTCTGGTTAGCAGCATTTCTTAAAATAGAGGTTTACATCAGGAGGCACTGTGGATTACTGGCAATTAATGCATTGTCTCTTCAATACTGAATATTCTTGTTGCCATGTGCAAAATAGGATTTTTAGTAATTTCATCTGAGAAATCCAGAGAAAATTCTATTTATGCCTTTCCTCTTCTGCTCTGAAAGAGCCAAGCCTTGGGGGAAAGGTCCCAGATCGAGGTGTTAGATTTGCGGGGTTTTTTTGAATAAACATTTCCATGGTCTTTTCACATTTTTTTTCTTTCAAGGAGAAAATGCTTTGCAGATGGCTGATATCACAGCACTAGCTAATGAAGCCATGGGTGTGTTTTCCCTTTCTTTGTCAGGACCCATCATGTCCGACAAACCAGATTTTGCAGAAATTGAAACGTTTGACAAGACCAAGCTGAAGAAGACAGAAACCAGAGAGAAAAATCCCTTGCCCACTAAAGAGAGTAAGTGCTTCTGAGGCTATTTGAACTGTGAGTAGCAAGGACACAATTTGTGTTGCAGTTCATATGCAAAATGAATACTAATCATGGGATTACAGGCTCAAACTCATCCCTGATTTTAAGTGGGGATAATACTAAGACTCGTAGTCTATGCTGGGCTTCCAAGGATGCCAATAATTATAACCAATGGTGCATTTTGTTTGAAAAACCCTTTCTGATGGGATTGCTCTTGCTTCTGCTAAAAGCAAGACCAGTGTCCCCTCTGGGTGCTGGTAACAGGATCAATCTGTTTGCAATTACCATGTTACCAGTCCCTCTGGAGGCACAGGGGGACCCTTGCCCATCTCTGGTAGCCTCCCCAGAGCGTGCTTGGGCTCTGGATTTAATGTGTTAGCAGGCAGATGAGCTGCTGCCTCCCACTGGTACCTGCTGCCAGCCCTGGCCAGGAGACCTTCAGGCACCTTCTCTGGGAATAAGTCTGCAAGGAAACCCCATTATCATCCTCATCTAATAGGAAATCTTCTTTAGCAAAGCACCCCTGAGCTTTAGTCGTGCAGGGTCTTCTCCCCTACAGGCACTGTGCACAGGCAGCCAGGTGAGGCTGGGATTCACTTCTACTTCAGGTATGAAAGAGCATTTGGACCAGATTTTGTGGGCAGCTTCCTTCAGAAGAGCATAGTTAACCCCTCAGGATATCTGTGCTGATAGCCATGGAGATGCACTGTCCCTTGGCACGATATCTGTTTTTTCCCCACTGTTTTATTATCCTTACTAGTGCTAAAGCTGGAGGTTTGCACATCAGGAACTGCCCCCTCCTAGCTAGGCAGACATGGGAAGGAGTTGGCATTTCCAGGGTGATCAAAAAAAGCAAGTGTGGATTTAACCATTCCATGGCTTTAAAAAAAACTGTAGGAATCTGTACCTTGTAGAACCACTAACGCAGAGTTACAGAATGATTTGGGTTAGAGGGAACCTTAAAGATCATCCAGTTGCAACCCCCCTGCCATGGCCAGGGACACCTTCCACTAGACCAGGTTGCTCCAACCTGTCCAGTTTGGCCTTGGATACTTCCAGGGATGGGGCAGCCACAGTTTCTTTGGGCAACCTGTGCCAGGGCCTCACCACTCTCACAGGGAACAATTTCTCCCTAATATTCCACCTATCTCTGTCACTGGGAAGCCATTCCCCCTTGTCCTGCCACTCCATCCCTTGTCCAAAGTCCCTCTCCAGCTCTCTTGGAGCCCCTTTAGGCACTGGAAGGGGCTCTGAGGTCTCCCTTGAGCCTTCTCTTTTCCAGGATGAACACCCCCAACTCTCTCAGTCTGTCTCCATAGGAAAGCAAAGTCTATAAACAGTAATGTTTATTGATGGTGTTTTTGTTTCCTCTGTTTTCCTGCCAGCTATTGAACAGGAAAAGCAAAGCGAAAGTACAGCCTGAGTGTAAAGTTCAAGATGTGACTGCTGCTTCTTCAGTGGGGTTTTGGCTTCTGAGTTGGGTTGCTGTTTTGTTTCGTCCTCCCCAGCCCTTGTTTGTTTCCCATTTGTTTAAGGAAGCATTTGTTCATTTAATGTTCCCTGGAGAAGTTTGTTTTGTGTTTGTTGAAGAAGATACTATGTGTTTGTATTCTTAAAACTGTAATTCCAAGTTCTGTGTGGACCCCATTACTTGCCAAAAAAAGCAATTTGCATAGAAAATTGTTTTCCTAAACCTCACAATAAACAGGTTTCTTCTGATCAGCTGTCTTTGAGCCTTGCAGAAATGAGGTTTAAACTCCAACTCTTCCTACTTTGTTTCCATTTCCATGGTTACTTGGGAATATGGTCAGGTTGGGAAGGGTTACCCCAGACAGGGTCCTGGGCTGGCACACAGGCCCTCTCCATCAGCACATTCATCTGTATCCTGCAGAATCCTGGAGCCCCAGGTGGCACCAACCCCCAGGAACCCCCCAGACACCTTCACAGCAGCCTGGAGACTTCAATCCCATTCCTTGTGTCACTCAAATGAGTGTTTCATGGGAACCCTGAGGGACAAACTGTGTATGCTGGCAGCTCCTGTGCTTTTAAGCCCTCAGCTTGGCAGCAGGCATGAGTAAGATGTGGAATTAATGGCCTGCTTCAGTCCTGTCCAACAGTAGGTTAGAGGTCTCAGACACGAGTACCCACTTGGAAATTCCATGAAAAATTGATGGTTGGGCTGAGGAAATACTCAAATTAGCATCCCAGATGGAAAAAGGGCTGCAGCACACCCTCCACAGATTTTTTTTTTTTCCTCTTTAACTTGCCAAGATCCAGTGAACCCTGGGGCAACTGCAGCACACACACAGCCCTTGGCCCATGTCATATCAACAATACAAGAATGAGGGAAGGTGGGAGAAGGAAAGAAAATTTAGTATTGCACTGATTTTCTGGGATGAGACAGAGACCTTCAGCAGCACGAGGGCCTAGGACACAAACCTTCAAAGCAAGCAAGGACTCCCTAAATCTTCATTACTGGTGGTGCAATAACATCCTCACTGGTCTGCAGAGGACTTGGCAAAAATAGATTCTGGTACCAGCTCAGGGGACTCCCAATTACATGGTATCACAACACTTCTGGAATTAATTTTCAGTCATATTAGAAAAACAAGTGCTTCTCCTGGGCAGATAAACTGCTCTCCCTGGAGATCTGGTTTGGTCCTGCTGGTGCTGTGAAATGAGAACAGCTCTGTGTACTTGAGCAGGGTTACTCTGGGCTTGCACCTGCCTGAGCTGAGGCAGAAAGCAGCTTTACAGGCTTCAGAACACAGAGCTGAAAGGTTGGGGTGGTGTTCAGAAAGCTCTCATTTACTTAAGGGTTGTTTGACACTTGACAATGAATGGAAATAGTCAGGACTGCAATTAAACAGCACCAGGAGCCACAGGAGTGACCTTTGGTGGCAACAGAAAGTAACCAGAGGTGAGCAGGAGACCAAGGGAAAACACCCAGCACACAGGACTGGTGATCTCAGTCAGAGCTCCATTAATGTCAGTGGTGTCCAAAGGACTGAGGCTGCTATTTCAATCCCCATTCATCAGTTCAACATTGCTGAGGTTTTCTTTTCATGACCAAGATTTTTTGTACATTCTCCTTTGAGGACCTCGTTCCCTTGTCTCCTGACTCGAAGGGGTGTTTTTTTTAAGGTCAGCTAGGTTTATTAATACTGTTTTTTTATTTAAAAGGTGAGGAACATGAGGGGTTGGGCAACAAGGAAAACAGGGTTATTTTCTTTGTGACCCGTGCCCTCCCCTCACACCTGCACACTTCAGGGTCAAAGAGCCTTTGACATTATTTAAATACTTGCTTTGATGATGGAGGAAGAGTTCAGAGATAGCACTTGGAGAAACACCACCTATGGAAATCTGTGTAGTTCATTCTGCTCGACCAGATCCACCCAAACCGTTACTTTTCCACAGGGTGATTTTTAAGCACCGTTTTGCACCCAGCAATGAGCCCACAGACCAGACTTTCTCCTTGGTTTTGCCAGGAGACAGTATTTGTTCCACGTGACCACCTCCCTCCTTCTCTGTCAGCTCAGAGCATCTGCCAGCTCACTCAGCACAACGTGCTGTAAATCACCAAAAACCTCTTTGGCAACACTGAACCAGTGGCCATGTCTCTGCCCTCGAGTTCCCCCAGAAACCAAAGGTCTGGGCTGTGTCCTCAGCCTGCACTTTTTGGGCAGAAGGAAAGGAAGGTCTGGCCAAAGCAACAAAACAACAGAGACACTCTCCTCTTGTGTTTGCAGGGATACAAAGGATTAGGAGCACTGCTCTAGGGAGTGATGCAAGAGACACCAGGTTTGTCCAAGCACTTGGCTCAGAGCTCCTGGTGCTGCTGCAGGGCTCTGCCTGCCCCCATGAAGCCTCCTCCCAGTTCAGCTGTTTGCATTTAAGGCCTGTCACCGTAAACCAAACATCTCAGTGCTGTTATCCACGTCTCACCACACTAAAAAGGCTGAGAAGAACTTTTATCTCAAGTTCCCCGCCCCTGGACCTGACTATGAGAGCTGCCGAGCTGCAGCAGAGCACGCAGCACCTGCACACCAGGAAAAATTCCTCAAGGTTAAAGGCCAGATCTTCCCACCTTTCTCCTTCCTGACCAAGGTGGAGCATGGCTTCATGGCAGGGCTTGGAGACTACTTCTTTCACAGTTAGCAGTTAAAAGAGGCTTAAAGTTAAAAACACGTAACTGCAGTACTCTGATTCGAGAAACATCCCTTTCTGCTGCTGTGTGGGACCACTTCAGCCCAGGATCTGGATCAGGAAATTAAAATTTGTCAAGAGCAGGGATGGGTTTGGCTCCCTGTTATCTAAATCAAAGAGCATTACAGCCCTTATCAGCGGGGCAAGCTGAGGACACAGACCAGGAAACCACTCATCTCTTCAGGCTGGGACAGTGAATTTTCATCCTTCCAGTCATTACACTAAGGAAATATTTGTTCCTGCCATTGGAAGGGAGCTACAAGCCAAGCCAAGCCAAACCAAACACCTTACCCACACCTAGGAAACACCTTCTGGGTGTTAACCTGACCTTCACCCCCTGGAAGAGCATCCTCCAGCACCGAGGCTCTGCAGCAACCACCCCTTCCTCAGCCTCAGGACTGATGGGCAGCTGAGCTGGAGACAAAGTCATCAGCAAACAGAACCAGCACCAGGTGGGAAACTTAAATATTTCTGCCAATTAGCAGCAGCCCCTTGCTGTTATGTAAGGGCACATAACGAGGTGTTACCTTGCAACTCCTCCAAAGGAAAAATGCCTTCCATGCTCATGCAGTTACAGCCAAAAAATCATTATATTCAGATAAACATTATATGCAGATAAACACCCACTTTCTTGGCATCACCATGAAGCCAGTCTTGCCCCCTGGATCCCAGGGACAGGGTCAGCCCTCTCAGGATCCTGGCCAAGTCCACCTGACCCTGTGACTCACCTCTAATTGCTCTGCACAGTCACAGCAAGCCCTGACTGAGCAGAGATCTGCATTCCTGTCATTGTTGTACAGAAGTTAGTTGATTTAATAAATCTCATTAGGCAGGCATTTGATAGCAGTGAAAGCCAGGAAGGAGAAGCTCTAAGCCTAGCTCTCCTGGGAAAAGGACATGTGTGTGTTCCACCTCACTTGGAGCCCAGCTGAAAGCCCCTGGAGATCCTGCCCAGCTCCAGCCCCAGCTCAGATACCACAGCCGAGTCTCAAGGCACATGGGAGGTTTTTTTTCAAATGTTTCTGGGTGTTCTCTCTTATTTGGGCCATTAGCCCCATGGTTGCTGAGCCATGTCACAGCAAGTCTTTAGGCCCAGCTCTGCAGCAATGAGGGCAATTGGCCTTGGCCAGTGGCTTGGTCACCACAACAGAAGCTGGGATGGCTGTGAGAGGTCAAGGCTGGAGAAGCCTTTGCTTGGGGAGAACACCTCTGTGTAGTGGTTCTGCCATCAGTGCTGCTCCTGACGCAGCAGAGATCTCTCCTGCTAACAGAGGATCAGGGAAGATGCGAGGGAAGGAGGACACTGGCACAAGCTCTGTGGGATCGGGGGTCTGAACTGCAGGGCGTGGGAAGGAGGAGGTCAGGGGCTAGGAGAGCAGCCAGAGAAGTGCCCACGGCAGCACAAACTCGAGGCAGAAGAAGCCAGGGCGGCTCTCGTGCCTCTGCCTGGCTCGCCCCTTGTTTTTCCAAAAACACAGGGTGAAAACAATAGCCTTTTCAACAGCCCTAACCTTCTGGTGCCAAGCTGGGGGAGCCTCCCACACCGTGCACAGGCAAACAGAGCTGCTGTGTCCTCCAGGAGCCCTGGCACAGGCAGCCAGCCCTGGCCACGCCACCTGCTCCCACCCAGCATGTCCGTGGGTCCCTGGGAGCTCTGTCTGTCCCAGCCACCGAGGTGTGTCCCACAGCAAAACCCGCTCAGCCTGGAGGGTGGGAGGCAGCAGGGGGTGGCTGGGGCTGAGCCAGGGTGTGTGGGAGCAGGTGGGTGTGTGTGCTGGGGCATTTCTCCAGCTCAAACTGACAGCAGGGAGAGCTCTCATTTTTGGTGCTGGGAAAGGCAGCTCCCTGTGCTTTCTGTCTTGTCAGGAGAGCTGGCTTGGGAAGGAACAGTTGCTGGGGATGGTTCAAGCACATCTTGTAAGCTATGCTGACAACAGCTCCTGACAACTCCTACCATCAACTGCAAGTCTCCCCATCCTTCATGTTTGCTTCAGGGCCCAGGTCCAGAATTCATTCAATCCACGGAGAATCAGTAAAAAAGGAGATGGAGGGGGGAGCAAAAGGGGGTTTCTAGCTCTTGTCAGAGAGACACACGAAAATGAAGCCTTTTAGGGCTCTAGCAGTAGGCACTGAACAAAAAGAAGGAGAATTTTCAAAATAAAAAAACAATCTCAGGAATTTTAAGCTGGTCTCATGAATTCAAAGGCCAACTCAGTATCAAAATTTTTGGACTTGGCAAAGTTGCAACAACCAGGGAGGAAAAAAACTGATGTGTGACTCCAAGTGGGTGTTTTCAAACAGCATCTTGTTTGGGGAAAATAATCCCTCTTGGTCTGTTTTGTTTTCTCGTGATGCTGGAAACAATTCTCCTCCTCAGAGAAAAGAACTGGGAGGTTATTTTCCTATCAAATCATGGGAGCTCCCTCAGGTCACGCCTGACCACGGCTGGTCCCCTCACCCCTGCTGGCACTGGGGGGAGTCACCACCTCGAAGTGCTAAAGAAACACTTTAGC